CTGGACTAGATGATCCTTGGGGTCCCATATGATTCTATGAAACCCATAGAGTATCTGGCACAGTCTCTTTTGGAGGCATTTATATTTGATTTATTCATCCCTTTTTGCAAAAAGATTTCTGAAATCCATGCTCAGTTGGCGTGACAGGGCCTTTTCCCGGCCACCTTTCTTCCTGACATGTTTGGAATTGTACGTTTCCATGCCAGAAATCCAAATTGGTACAGTCCAGAAATGAGTTTGCCGCCTAGCCTGTTGTTTTCTGGGGTCTTCACCCATGCCGCAACCCCCCCCCCCCGACAGGGGCGGAATTAGACTGCCAAATTAACGGACTTATCTGAAGAGGAGAATGTGAAAGTGTAATTGCTCCACTTAAGTAATGAAAGGATGCATTAAATATTATTAAAGTATATTATCGTATTCAAGATTGGTCGCCTCCAGACTGTCAGTATTTTGCAAGAGGGGTTCAAGTGCACACCAGAAAAATCAGGATTTACTGAAGTTGCATTAACGTGCTCTTCCAACCTCGTGAAACACATCCACTTTTTTGTAACCCCACCCTGCCCCACCAAATGCCCTATGCTTAAAGGCATACATGCGTGCTAGCATATTGCCCACAAGTGCTTTTTTATATCACAAGCTCTCCCCGCCCCAAGGGTGCACAGGGGTGGGGGTGGGGAAATGGCTTGGAGTCTGACTCAGGAGAGGGGGCCAGTGATTTGAGGGGACCCATACAAGTCAGGAGCCTAGGACTTGCCGATCAGAAGGTCGGCAGTATGAACCCCCGCGACAGGGTGAGCTCCAGTTGCTTGGCCCCTGCTCCTGCCAACCTAGCAGTTCAAAAGCACATCAAAATGCAAGTAGATAAATAGGTACCACTCCGGTGGGAAGGTAAAAGGCATTTCCGTGCACTGCTCTGGTTCGCCAGAAGCGGCTTAGTCATGCTGGCCACATGACCCGGAAGCTGTACACCGGCTCCCTCGGCCACTAAAGCGAGATGAGCGCCGCAACCCCAGAGTCGGCCATGACTAGACCTAATGGTCAGGGTCCCTTTACCTTTACCTATACCAGTCAGGAGGCAAGAATCATAGGCCGGGGAAGCTTCAGAGCTGGAGGAAGAGGCAGGTGAGGTCAGCCAAGGGCCAGGTGTTTCCCCACTCTCTCCTGCCCCGCTGTCTCCCAGAACTGTGGGAATGTTCAGGGTGGCAGGAGAGGATATATTGTTTATTAATATCCTTCCTGACTTGCACTTGCAAGTGCCTTTGCTTAGCAGAGTTTACATTCCCCTTTTACATGCACAGCAGACAGCTGGTTGCAGGCTCGTGTGAGCCTCTCACTGTTATACAATTCAGTCTGTCTCAGATTGAATTGTACATGCCTGGTAAGTTCCCTTGAAGCCCTCTTAAAAGAACAAACACACCACAATCTTATTCATAAGTCAATAAAAGACGTTTACTTATATCAGTTCACGGTTGGATCCCTGAAGGCAGACTTCGTTACAAATATGTGCATGTATTTTAACTTTCTGTTGGAATATTCTGTTGGAAGCTGTCCAGAGTGGCTGGGGAAACCCAGCCAGATGGGCGGGGTATAAATAATAAATTATTATTATAAATTATTATTATTATGTGGATCTACCCCATATTGGGGGATAATCATAGTGCTTATGCTAAAAGCTGGTCAAATGAAGAAGGAAGTGAAAAAGAGGGAAGGGCGCTGCGTGACTCTACCTTTTGTTACCTGGACAGGTTAGGTCACGCCCACCTTCTATCACATGCAAAAGGAAGGATGCTCCAGCCCAGGAGGAACAGGAAGTTTCAGCTGGCTGGACCAAACATCCCCTTGCATGTCCGCTCTAGGAAAACAAGGAGTGTTGTAATTGACTGCTCCCAGTGGATTACATCCCACAAGAACTAGGAAGGGATTGATGAGGGATGAGCAAAGGAAGTTCCACATGGGCATAGTCTCTGGCTGCATGTGTGCAGCCCGTTAGGGGAAGGTACATAAACTGATGGAGGAGGCGGCGGTCCCTATTGCTGCTGCAACTGCTCCATTGAACAGCAGCCTAGGACCCACGTACCTACGGGACCGCCTCTCCTGGTATGCCCCGCGGAGGACCTTAAGGTCCACAAATAACAACACTTTGGATGTCCCCGAACCTCAAGGACGTTAGATTGGTTTCAACTAGGGCCAGGGCCTTTTCAGCACCGGCCCCGACCTGGTGGACACTCTGTCATGAGAGACTAGGGCCCTGCGGGACTTGACATCTTGCCGCAGGGCCTGCAAGACAGAGTTGTTCCGCCTGGCCTTTGGTTTGGACTCAGTCTGACCCTTATGTTTCCCTCCCCTTATGGTCTTGATTTATCAGTTATTTTAAAATGAGGCTGCATTTTAAATTGCATTTTAACCTGTATTTTAAATTGGCTCCCCCCTCTTTTTCCCCATTATGTTTTTACTGTGATTTTATTTTATTGGTGTTAGTCGCTCTGACCTGGGAAGGCAGGGTATAAATAAAATTTATTATTATTATTATTATGAATGTGGACCTGGGAATAGCTGCCTAGATGCTAGACTGGTGCACATGGGTATTAAGAGCTGTAGAAACAACTGCCCGCTTTGACAATAAAGAGTTAACTTTCTTCCCTGTGCATTCCTTCAGTTGGGGAGCCCCCTTGACACCCCCCCATCACATAAATTAGCAGCACAGGGCCTCTGATTCAGAACGGCCCCCAGGTTGGGGGAAGCAAGGGGGTTTAGCACTTCACATCCCACTGTGGTTCCAATCCGGTTCGGAACGCCTGAAATTTGCATCTTGCGGTCCTAACCTGCATAGGACCTCCCCATGCTCACGGGTAATGCTCAGGTGGGGCAGATGCCCCCCTCCCGATCCACAAAAATGATTGAAAATCATTGAAAGCGCTCAGTTACCGTATTTTTTGCTCTATAAGACTCACTTTTTCCCTCCTAAAAAGTAAGGGGAAATGTGTGTGCGTCTTATGGAGCGAATGCAGGCTGCGCAGCTATTCCAGAAGCCAGAACAGCAAGTGGGATTGCTGCTTTCACTGTGCAGCGATCCCTCTTGCTGTTCTGGCTTCTGAGATTCAGAATATTCTTTTTCTTGTTTTCCTCCTCCAAAAACTAGGTGCGTCTTGTGGTCTGGTGCGTCTTATAGAGCGAAAAATACGGTAATTGGGAAATGGTTTATTGAATATTTACAGATAAATTTTAAACGGATAAAAACATTGGCAGGATTATTGCAATAGCCTCCAGTATATACTTAAAGTAGATGAATAAATGAGCAAATTAAGTTAATTTGGATATTCAAAGGATATTAAAAATAAATTTAAGGAAGCACAGAAAGAGGGAGAAGGAAGTCCAAGTTTTGCAATGTTAAAATGGTTGTATAATCAGTGAAATGTATAAACCTGAAAAGCATAAATAAAATTAAAAAAAGAAAGTACTCAATTAATTGGGAAATGTTTTATTGAATATTTACAGATAAATTTAAAACGGATAAAAACATTGGCAGGACTATTGTAATAGCCTGCAGTTTTATAAGAGTATATATTTAAAGTAGATGAATAAATGAGCACATTAAGTTAATTTGGATATGCAAAAGATATTAAAAATAAATTTAAGGAAGCACAGAAAGAGGGAGCAGGAAGTCCAAGTTTTGCAATGTTAAAATGATTGTAAAATTAGTGAAATGTATACACCTGAAAAGCATAAATAAAATTAAAAAAAGAAAGTACTCAATTAATTGAGGTTCTTCCCCACCCAGCAGATGCCTCCCCCTCCCCCCGCTATGTAAATTTGCTCCTCGCAATGTGGATCAACAACTTTGGCTGCCCCCCCCTCAAAAAAAATCCTGGCTATGCCCATGGTGTTCACAGGTAAAAGCCAACGCTTTCCCATAACACTGTGCAATAAGCACCCTTCATACTTTGGCCCTGAAAGTTGGAGGGAAGAAAACTCAAAAGGAATTTGTGCTAGGGGCTCATATGTCCACAATGGAACCATGTTTAAATCATTTATACATTTATTGACCCTAAAGACGTTAAAGTAAAGATTATGGGATAATGTACACAGTGACTTGCGATTTCGATCACACGCAGTCTGCAATCTGCTGACAGTAGGAGTACAATATGGGCATGTCTTTAAGTTAACATCTTACATTAAAAACCTGACAGTACCAAATTATTGAAGGCTTTTCACCAAAGCCAGACTAAACGTCTTTCCTTCTGCAGTGCTGGATGGCAGGTTGAGAGGAGTTCCCTACCAGGACAGACTTTGCTCGTGTGCTCAAGACATCGATTCCATAAAACATATTTTGTTGCACTGTGCAAAATATGAGTGAGCCAGGGCTGAACTGATATTACCCTTGCTGGTACCTTTCCCGGGAAAATCAGAGGCTCACTATGTCAGGTTCCTATTGGAAGACCGGACAAATGCTAGAACGTTAGCAGTGGCCAAGTTTTTATCGGTGGTAGCAAGAACCAATGATCCCTATATTCTGAACGAAATGCTTGTTTAACCTGGAGGTAGGCTGTATGAATTGTGTGTTGCTTTGTAACGATTTGTTGGGTCTCTGGATCATAATAAAGATTGATTGATTGACAGGGTTGATTTTCTGCCCTTTAGCCAGAACAGCTTCAGGCATGTCCAAAGTCTGTCTTGGGGGTGTAATTTGGCCTGTCGGTCTGGTCGGTTTAATCTGGCCACTGTGACAGTTTATTTCCTTTGATAAAATCCTAAAAATACCGCAACAACTTAATCTTAAAAAAAGGTCAACAACTTTGGTCGGCCCTCACGGCCCTTCACTTCATCAAATCTGGCCCTCTTTGAAAAAAGTTTGGACATGGCAGCTCCTACCACCGCTGAAGTCAAGGGGGAAAGTTCTTTCTCTGTCTCGCTCACACCTGCTTAAAGGGATCTCACCTGGTGTCAGAAGACAAGACTGGCCACCTGACTGATGCTTGCTGGTCCCAGCTGCCTCCAGAGCTCTGGAGGAAGCGTCTCATGGGCTGACAGACCTGAGATTGACCTTCACGTTTCACCATTCTCAGGTTAGACAGTCCTTGACACACCCCTCACCTGGGAAAGTGCTCCCTTTGTCCTTCAGGTGTGGTCACTGTGGGAAAACAAAGACATATTTGAAAGGGAAGCATTGCAGTCAGATCCTAATTTGGAGAAGATGGGGTTACCATATTTCAAAAAGTAAAAACCAGGGCTCACCGAAAGTTATTGAGCTTTTGTTAAGAAACCCCCCAAATGCCAAAAGAACCACGATTTTAAAATTGGCTTACCTAAGATCCAGGACAAAGCAGTGCTTTTCTGAAATTTCCTCCGGACATCAAGTCTGCCTTTAAAATCCCAGTAATAGTAAACAGCATTGGAATAGCCTGGACAGGACACTTGAAATCAACCAAACCTGAGTCCTTAGCTCAGTCTATAGAGCATCAGACTCTCAGACTCAAGGCTGAGAGTTTGAGCCCCATGTTGGGCAAAATATTCCTACATTGCAGAGGGTTGGACTAGGTGACCCACACAGTCCCTTCCAACTTTACAATTTTATCATTCTATTTCGTAATAAAATGATCCACTGCTCTTCGCTGGTAGCTTACAATTCTCAGAACAACAAACGGTCAAACCCTTTTATTGATTCATTTGTAAAATACTTCCGTGCTGCAATTTCTTTAAAAATATCAAAGCGGTTTGCACACAGACAAAAAAAAAACCCCACGTAAAAATTTGAAATCATAGATCCTCCATTACAGAATATGTTTTCTTCGTTGTCGGCAGGAACCTGGCAGCATAGAAAGGTTTTTAGCAAATTTGTGAGCGGGATCTGAGTTAGGAGGAACAGAAGTGATTAGATTATAATACTGTGGTTATGGTTTAATAGATAGAAGACAGGGGGCAGCAGAAAGGGAGAAACAAGAAGTCCATGGAAAACGGGGTGGGAAGTAGATAAAAATGAAATGAAAGACAAAGTTGTGTTTTGATTGTACAGTGGTACCTCGGGTTACATACGCTTCAGGTTACAGACTCTGCTAACCCAGAAATAGTACCTCGGGTTAAGAACTTTGCTTCAGGACGAGAACAGAAATTGTGCAGCGGTGGTGCAGCAGTAGCAGGAGGCCCCCATTAGCTAAAGTGGTGCTTCAGGTTAAGAACAGTTTCAGGTTAAGAACAGACCTCCAGAACGAATTAAGTACTTAACCCGAGGTACCACTGTACATGTTAAGAATGTTGGAACTTAACAAAATGTAATTGGGAAAAAAGAGAAAGGCTTTCAACAAATGTTCAAAGGTTAAAATAGAAAGTGTCTGGGTGCCCTGGGCTGTGGGTGCCAGGCAGTGTGCATGGCCCTGGCATCGAAATTTGTGGGTGCGCAGCCCCTTTGTGGGGAATTTTGTGGGTGCATGGCTAACTGGGGCCCCAAGGTGCCGGCACCCATAGGTGCTGAATCTCTATTCCAGAGGGCTGGGCAATTGACATTCAGGACTCCATGTCAAATGAGCCTCACCAATGCAGGAGACAAGGACCGACGCCTCTACAGATCTCGCTGTTCAAGCTGGGAAATAAGAGTTCAGGCGGTCCCTGGTTTAAGTCGTCCAGGGCTTTGTAAGTTAATACAAGAACTGTGAGCCTGGCTTGATAGCAGACGGGCAGCCAGCACAGCTGTTTGGAGTCCAGAATTGGCTTTCTAAGAAGCGGGACCATCTCTTTAAAGGTGTGTTTACCCTTGACCCATTCAGTCTGGATAGCTTTAACAAGGTGGGATAAACAAGGATGGTGCCAGCAGTCACAAAATTAAAAGACGCCTGCTTATTGGGAGAAAAGCAATGACAAACCTAGACAGAATCTTAAAAAGAAGAGACATCACCTTGCCAACAAAGGTCCAAATAGTTCAAGCTATGGTTTTCCCAGTAGTGATGTATGGAAGTGAGAGCTGGACCATAAAGAAGGCTGATCGCTGAAGAATTGATGCTTTTGAATTCTGGTGCTGGAGGAGACTCTTGAGAGTCCCATGGACTGCAAGAAGATCAAACCTATCCATTCTGAAGGAAATCAACCCTGAGTGCTCACTGGAAGGACAGATCCTGAAGCTGAGGCTCCAATACTTTGGCCACCTCATGAGAAGAGAAGACTCCCTGGAAACAACCCTGATGTTGGGAAAGATGGAGGGCACAAGGAGAAGGGGATGACGGATGATGAGATGGTTGGACAGTGTTCTTGAAGCTACCAGCATGAGTTTGACCAAACTGCGGGAGGCAGTGGAAGACAGGAGTGCCTGGCGTGCTCTGGTCCAGGGGGTCACGAAGAGTCGGACACGACTAAACGACTAAACAACAACAACAATGAACAGAAGTTTGGGACATACAGGCTGCAGTCACTGAAACCGATCCCACAGCACTGAGTTCAACATGCTTTTGGAAACCTTGCCTGGTGCTACCACAACGGCGGCATCTGAATCAATGCGGAGCTAATAAACTTTGTCCTCAAAGTGTTTAGCCAGAGGGTTACAGGTGGACACATGCGGAGATCCGCACTCTTAGTCAGGCGTGACCAGCATCCAAACCACCTGGGAAAACGTCGCTAGTGCTGGGTGTCTCCCAAAATATACAGTGGAGGATCTCTTTGCTGCATTGACAGCCTGATTATCATAGACTCATAGAACTGTAAAGTTGGAAGGGCCCACGGTGGTCATCTAGTCCAACCCCCTTGCAATGCAGGAATCTTTCACCTGACGTGGGGTTCAAACCTGTGACCTTGAAATTAAGGGCCTCGTGTTCTACCAACTGAGCTACTCCAGGTTTATGATCCTGAAAAGGCGCTCAGTTATCTCTGGAGTGAGATTTACCCCAATGAAATGGAAACAAGAAGAAATTCCCATGAAAGAAGAATGGCAGACGAAATTAATGGACTATGCAGAACTGGACAAAATGACAGGAAGGATTTGAAACCTGCGGGACCAGAAATTTACAGAAGATTGGAAGAAGTATATGAATTATCTGAAGAGCAACTGTAATCAACAAATTACACTGGTAGGACTACAAGAAGTTTTGTAAGGGGAAATATACGAAGCGTTACAAAGTAGAAAAAGCTAGAGATAGTGGTTATGAGTTTGAAATGTAATAGGGAAGATAAGAAATGCATACTAAGAGATTAGATTGGAAAATTTCCAGACAGGATTGATGGAAGTCAAAAAAATTGAATAAGATGTAAAAGTATGTTTAATTACTGTTGAAAATGATATGTTAAAAAACTATCTATCTATCTATCTATCTATCTATCTATCTATCTATCTATATGAATGAGATTTACTTCACTGGGTACATTCCATTGCCGGTAGCTCCTCAATGAACCAATATCTATCTTATCGTGAACATCCTTGGGTAGTGCAGAAATGCACGAATAAAATAAAGGAATTGTAATAAACAGATATAGAACCTGCCAGGTACATTAAGAAAGGCATAGACAGACTTCAGAACTGCGGGTTCTATTTAGGGGTTGTTGTTTTTTTGTTCCACTATAATACTGAGGTTGGTTAACCTGACCTGGGTATAAAACAGTGGCTTGGGGCAGAGTTAATTGCCTCTCCAGACTGTGAGTCTTACACATGCAAGCAGAAATTTGAGTTTTACAGATCAGAGATTCTAAAAACCTAATTTGGGGAAGGCTTTCTTTGTTATTAAAGAACTGGGAGACAAAAAACCTTTGCTGACTTGTACAATCCTCATATAATGTCTGTCTGGTAGTTTACGGATGGGGAAGGAATTCTATTCGGTTTCCATTTAGAGCCAAATGCATCAAATTCTCACTTTCTGAGAATCGAAAACACAGCCATCCTTCAAAACCCACACTTATCCAGATTTTGCAGCGCAGATCTCCCACCCAACAGTGCTTACAAAAGTACTGCATAAATTTTTTTTGGGGGGGGGGATGTGTGTAAAGATGAATCTGCTAGTGAAAATAACATACAGAAATGCATTACTGGGCGATCAGATTGTTTGCAAAAATGTGTGTGTTAGTTAAAATGCCATGCAACAATGTAGTGTGTTTTTTTTTTAAAAAAAGGATAAATTCACACCAAAATGCTGAAGAATTCCCATGTGGTTTTTATTTATTTATTTAAATCACAAATGGCCGCAGAAATGCAGAGAAGTGAATTTCAGACTGGGAAAACGAGGCACTGAGAAAACTGAAATTGACAGAGCTTTCCATCCATATGGAGAGCTGGAACCCTGAACAGGAACGAGTGGTAGGAGATGAGAATATGCAGTTGCAGATCCTATTTGTTTTGCTTAATTCGTAGATAAACAGCTGCTCTGGGGTCGTTGTTTTCTTGCTCAGTTTGTGTGTGTGTGTATGTGGGTGCATCATGTTTTACTTCGGTTGCCAATATTAATGTCTAATTTTAAGATTTATTGTTATTGGGTTGCAGCTGAAGCTAGTCCAACTCAGAGTAGACCCACTGAAATTAATGAACCTAATGTCAGTGGGTCTACTCTGAGCAGGACAATCATTGGCTACAACCCATTATTACAAAACAATTTATTAATAGTTATTTACATGTTCACCAGGACAATTTGCAACAAAACTGCCTTGAGATCTACGGGTGAAAGGTGCTATACAAAATAAATAAATAAATAAAATAACAATAACAATAATACCTAAAACACCAGCTAAAATAGTTTTGAAAGCAGCACAAAAAACAATTAAAGATGGCTTTTAAAAACAATATAAAAAATGAGCACCAAAGGAAGAGACTTTTTCATCCAGCTGATGAATATTTGTATTTGCATTTCTGTATTTTTTAATATTTGTATTTCTGTTCTGTCCCTGTGTCTTTAATTTTTTTAAAAAATTAAATGCATTAATTTAATGCATTTGCACCCCACCTGTCCTCAACAGAGCTCAGGGCAGCTATCCGATCTTTGGATGAAGGGCGGTCAACAAATTTAATAAATAATCATGTTAATAATAAATGGTTCCTTCCATACCTGTTTGTGAGGCAGGTTAAATTGAGAACGAGGGACAGACCCACAGTCCCACAGTCAGGTTTGTGGCTGTGTGGAGATTGTGGACTTGTGGATTTATCAGGAGAAATTTGCAGGCGAAACAAAGGACATTGGACAACTTCAGCGGCTAAATTTCCAATATATTTTATATTGCTTGCTGGGATCAGAGCAAAGACCATTTTAATCCTGAAAGCCTATTCCAGCATCAGCTGGCCAAATACTATGGAAGGCATATACAGGTGAAACTCAAAAAATTAGAATATTGTGGAAAAGTTCCTTTATTTCCGTAATTCCACTTGAAATGTGAAACTAATATATGAGATAGACTCATGACATGCATAATGAATGTTAGAATGATGTTGGATTGAAGTTAAGTGGCTTCTAGCTATATAGGTACAAAAGAATATGGAAAAATTGGTTTTTAATATGTAAAAATCTAATGTTACAATATATCAAGATTAAGGATTAGGATTAAAAAGGAGGGAAAGGAATTGTTGGATTAACAAATTGAATTGGAATACAAAAGAGGGAGGTATGAGGAGGTCCGGGAAACAAGTAAATGTAAAAGAAGTGAGGAAAAGATGGAATTGTTTTTAACTGTTTTTTCTTTTTTTTCTACTTTGTATTTTTCCTTGTTATTGTTAATTTTTTTTTTATTGATGTGATTCTTTTTTCCTTTGAAACTTTAATAAATATTATAAAAAAGGGGAAAAAAAGAGATAGACTCATGACATGCAAAGCGAGATATATTAAGCCTTGATTTGTTATCATTGCAATGATCATGGCGTACAGCTGATGAAAACCCCAAATTAACAATCTCAGAAAATTAGAATATTCACGGAAATCAGCAAAACAAGGATTGCAAATCGAGCAAGATTGGACCTCTGAGAAGTAGAAACATATCTCGCTTTGCATGTCATGAGTCGATCTCATATATTAGTTTCACCTTTTAAGTTGAATTACTGAAATAAATGAACTTTTCCACAATATTCTAATTTTTTGAGTTTCTCCTGTAGCTCAGGGGCGCCTGCAGAGTGCTAGGTGCTGTCTGATTAGTGCTGATCTCAAGGCAGGGCCTTGTTGGTGGTGGCTCCCTGTTTGTGGAACGCCCTCGCAGATGAAGTGCATAGCCTCCAACATTTCTCCAATGAAAACAGGGACATCCTATTCCACAATAATAACTATTATTATAATTTGCCTATTTATAACCCCACCTATCTGACTGGGTCGCCCCAGCCACCCTGGGCAGCTTCCAACATATATAGAAACATAATAAGACATTAAACATTTAAAACCTTTTCCCTATAGAGGGCTGCTTTCAGATGGTTCGCAGGGGTTTCTCCAAGTGAAACAGGGACATCCTATTCCATACCCTCCAACATTTCTCCGATGCAAATAGGGATGTCCTAAGGAAAAGTGGGAGATTCTGAGGTTAAATTGGAAACTGGGACGGCTTCTGTAAATCTGGGGTTGTCCCTGGAAAATAGGGACAATTGCAGGGTCTGGAGTTGCAGCCACCTATCTCCTTCATTTAATAAAGTTCAGGATAAAGAAGATACGTTTTTTCATATGTGGTGGACCTGCCCCAAGGTGAAAGATTTCTGGGAGAAGATTTATAATGAATTGAAATAAATGTTGAAATATACATTTATCAAGAAACCAGAGGCCTTTCTTCTTGGAAGAACAGGTTTGGAATTGCCCAAGAAAGATGTTAAATTATTTTTGTACGCCACAACGGCTGCTCGAATTTTACTAGCTAAGAACTGGAAAACACAAGAAGTACCAACAGTGGAAGACTGGCGGATGAAGATGGTGGACTTTTTGGAGCTAGCTGACCTGACTGGAAGAATCCGCGACCAGAAAGAAGAGGAATACCAAGAAGACTGGAAGAAATTTAAGGACTTTTTGAATAAATATTGTAATATAAATAATTAGAAGTCACTTGAAAGTACCAAATAGGCCTAGGACTAAATTAGGATGCAATTATATAAATGTGAATTAGATTGGTAAGAAAAGTGAATAAGATAGATAACAGTTGGAAATATTTTTGTTTAAGAATGATATTGGAAAGCTGTTACATGCAGATTAGAGGAAGTCAACCAACATGTAATTAAGGTTGGGTTTGGTTTTTTTTTAAATGATATTTATTGAAAATTTTTAAAGTTACAAAAAAGAACAAAACAGAAAAAAGAAAGAAAAAACAAAGAAAAAACAATCCACATCAAACAATACAAATTCAAAGAACAAAAATACACCACAAACACTCAAAAACAAATCCATCATTCTCAAATCCTCAACTGTCATTACCTTCTTTCTTTGACCTCTTCCTCCTCCCTTTTTTTGTATCCTAGTTGTTAATTGTCGCAGCAAATCCTTTCCATATTTCATAATATTCTGTCATTACATTTCCTTAATCTATTTTAATCTTATCTTACTATAAAGAACCTTAAAACTTAAAACTTAAATCTTATTTTTGCCAGCTTCTCATAACCATAGTATTCTTACATAATTCTTTAAACATTTTTGCTAAAGCCAAGTAATTTCGTTCCAACATTTTTCTAACATTCATCAATTTTATAAAACAATCCTAGTAGTAAAAAAAAAAGAAATAAAACCAATCCAGTCTTCCTCCAGCGTTCCTTCCTCCTGGTCCCGGGTTTTGTCAGTCCTTATTATCCCATCAATCTAGCGCATTAACCTGGTAACCTTGTATCCGAGGCCCTTAAATCTCTTCCATGGTTGGGTTTTTAAAGGATTAAGTTCGTTTTGCTTTTTTTTGTATTGTGGTGGGTA